GCATGATGAATGAAATGAATTGAAGACTAACACATAAATTTTAAATAGAGAAAAGTTTTTGGAAGACAACAGACTACAAAAACATACACAAACATACTAACTCACAAGCATACAGATAGGAATAAAGACGGACCAGTCACAAAATGAGAATACATAAAAGTTTCCATGTTTAACAGAACTGATGTAGGAGGAGCAATGAAGACATCCTTAGCTACAAGGGCATTTATATAGAGAGTTTCAACTAGGGTCATAGGTGGTCTCCTAGGGGCAACATGATAACCTAAAAAATTTATCCAACTAGGAGAGAGATAGCCCTTAATAAGGAAGGACAAGAAAATAGATGGCATAATGAGGAAATTAGAAACGTGATAAGACAAGGGATCCTGACTCACAACCGTAATAGGATAGCCCAAAGGGTCACCAGCAGGTATGAGACTCAAAAAATGGGATAGAGTGTCTAAAACAAATGTGGGCACAACAGTTAGAGAGGTGACAAGAAAGTGTGGGCTAATACTCTCTTTATCATTAAAGTCGGTACAAGGAATGGTGAGATAAATCCAATCAAGACAGACACTCTCTTTCAAATGTAAATCGGAAGGAGCAACTCCTAAAATAGATTCCAATAAAACACGAGGGTCATTTCTCCAATTAGGCTCATAATCAATCAGATTCAAATTATTGTCTTTCAAATTAATATCAACATGCTCAATAGGGTCAGGTGTAGTTATAAGTCTAAGATCAATGGATTTGGGGTCAATTAAATTGAGATCTAAATCAGGTAGTAAATTCAGTTGAATCACTTCCAATTTGAAATTATCCACATCGCCATCAAAATTATTCAAAATTATATCGGAATTATTCGGAGTCATCTCTGTAGGAGATACAATTAAATCAGATTCTTCTGAATTTAATTTCAATGTGTTCAAGGTCGGATCAGTTTCTTCCGATATCAAATTAATATCGTCCAGACAGACCTTATCCAAAGGGAAATCCTTGATGAGAAGAGGATATGGATGGGCTAAGGTATCAGAGTTTAAAGGTTCAAGATCTCCTAAATTAGGGTTGAAGTCAGGTAGGGAGTCTAATTCAATCACTTCAGTTTCATCCTCAAAGAAGTCCTCGTTATTAGTGATATCATTAGTATCCACGAAATGCATGTACTCAGTCTCAGGTTCAGGAAACTTCTTCTTTGCCGTGCTTCTTTTGTGTACAATTACACTTGCAGTGTCAAAAATTGGGGATACCAAATGTTGGGTAGCCTTAGAATCCTTACTAATTTTTAAGGTGGTATAGTCACTCATGTGATGAGGTAAATCGGGATACACCACGCAGAGAGGACGCGTGTTCAGACAAGGTTGATTGGGATGGCTAGGAGTCGGCCCAAGTGGGGAGTCATATGAGACCGATCCAGCAGAAGACCCAATAGAGGGTTGGCCATCAAGGCTAGGTGAAGACCTACAGGGTGGGGCAGACACCTTGATGTTACTAAAGGACGAGTGGTCATAAGTAGGGGAAAGATATTTTAATCCAAGTTCTCGTCTCATGTTTTTCCAATCGGAAGTAGGGTATTCGCCACGAGACTCTTTATGATCTTCCAACCTCATCCAAAATTGGCGAGCACTACTGTTCAGGTGAGACTTAGCAACGCTAAACTGGAGGGACTTAGGAATATCACGTGAATCAAAATAGTCCTCTAATTGTCTAACCAATTCCCTAAAGTATTAAGGATCCGAGGAACCAGCAAAGGTGGGTAGACGGTAATGTGACTTTAAGTGATATTGTTGTAGCTTAGACTCAGGTAGAGTGGGGCACCTTCCGACTAGTATGAATGACCGAATGAGTCACGTACCTAAAGTAGGAAGAGTCAACATGTTTCTCCTTCATGGTTTTATTCATAGAACCCACTAGATTAACAAGATCATCTAACTTCTTTTGAAGTCCTACCGGGTCCATTGGAAAGCGCAAGTGATACCTAAAGAAGATTGGGTGTAAGGGACAACACTCTACAAGGAGGAAACATAATTATGACTCGCTATAAGGTGTAGGAAATTACTCACAGTAAGCTACAAGAGAGATTTAAGTGATATAGGCAATTAGGATGGTTGTTGGATTGAGGACAACACCTAAACACTTAATCAAACTCACCTAAAGGTCACTAGATGGCGCAGGAATGATTTGGACAGCAAGCTACAAAGGTGGTTTAAGAAGTCTAGGCAGTTAGGAAGGCTGTTAAGTTAAGGACAGCAACTAAACAATTAAGAAACTAACCTAACATTCACTATATGTTTGCAGGAATGTGGACAACAAACATAACAGTAAATTAAACTATGTTAAATGATGATATGCATGCAACAATACATAAGCATGGTTATGTAAGCTCCTAGGATGACTTCTAGCACATGTAACACATGCTAGCCGTGCTCGGATACCAAGATGATGTAGACCGTACATGCAAGGATGAATAGATTAAGGAATTTGCACGCTTAATATTAGAAGCCACAATAATTATATCTTTATAACAATTTTAACGATGAGATAAAACACAAAGAGCGGTAAAACAAGCTTAGGCTAAAACATATACATAGGAGTTAAGACCATAAAACAACCAATTAATCTAACGTTGCATTCATGGATGATTTTCAACAAGAGATCCCTAGATTAACAATAAGATTAGCTACTATGCATGGATCCATCATTCAACTCTCTAACTTACTAAGTTTTAGCGAAGGAGAATTGACATGATCTCTTGTGAATCAAAATATAACCACAATTGGTGAGTAAACTAGGAAGATATATGACTTGGAGAAAAGGAGTTTACGTAAGGTTGAAGGTACGAAGCTCCGATGTGGCCATAGTGGGTGATTGAGGATAGTAGACAGCGACTACGAGCCTTCCGGATACTGTTGGGCAGCAACTTGGACTTGTGGTCAGCAGGTCAGTAGAGGGAGAGCTTACCAAAACTGCTGGTCAGCAGTCTTACACGGCTTCAAAAAAGTTCTGGACAGCACTATATAGCAATCAGGAAAGCTTGGACTTGTTGATGTTTGATGTTGGGAGCTTTGGACTTCAATTTGGGAATGCACTGGGTACAAAACAGCAATATACAATTGTTGGAGTAGAGATACAGTAAAAAGGAAACCAACAATTTTGAAGATACCGTGAAGGGAATTAAGGAGGGGCAGTTAGGTTAAACATTTAAGAATTTCCAAATCAGAATTTGGGAGTAATGGAGATTAGGAAGAGGAGGAGCTGGCTGATTAAGTGAGCATTAATGGGTTGATTGGAGGCTTGATTGGGAGCTTTAATTAGATAGGAAAGAGATTGGAGGGGGCCGGCCATGAGAGAGGGGAGAGAAAGGTGTCCAAGTTCAATGTATGTGAGTTATGGAGCAATTAATCAATTAATTTCAGGATTGATTAATTGATTGAATGAAGAGGGTTTCCAAACATTGTGTAATTAATTATGAAAGATTTGAAATTCAAACTTGATTAATTTGAATTCAAATTTCTTTCTAAATTAAAAACAATCCAAATTAGGAAGGAAGGGGTTTTAGAGGGAAGTGGAGTTTGGGATGAGATAAATCATTCCAACCCAATTTAAAATTAAAATGAAATTAGATTCAAGACTTGCCTAATATGACTTTGTAATTTAGGAAACCATTTGAAATTCAAAATTTGAATTTCAAAATTTTGAAATTAATTTCCCAAATCACTTAGGCTATTTTAGGCAAGTATTAATGATGAGTTAATTCATCATTCAAGGAGAGGGAAAGCATGTGGCCAGTGGTGGAAGAAACAGCTAAGGGAGGCCGGCGGGTCTTGATGTGGTGGTCGGGTAGGGGAAAATGAGGGGTCGTGGGCTGGGGCTGGCCGTTGAGCCTTTATTGGAAGCCGGTGGCTTGGGAGCCAAGGGGGGGTGGCAGTGGGGGTTCAAGGAGGAGGCTAATCTTTTGACAAAAAGAAAAAGAAAACAGAAAAGGTGGAAGGGGAAGGCCGGTGGGTGCTATGGGGAATTGAGGGAGTGGAGTGTAGGGGAAAAGAAGAAGACGACGAACCGCGAACCAAGGAATTCACCATGGTTGACGGGTATTGCTTTCACCCACCTAGGGTCTCTCCTTTCATGAACTCACTTAAAGATCAAGCAAAGAAAACTAAAATTTAAATTCAATATTCATCATCCTAAAATACAAGAGAGCTAGCCTATAAATAGGTCTCATGAAAAGAAAAGAAACAAAGGCTAAAACGCCCTTCGGGCTACAACACCACATGACCACCCCTAGGGATAAAATGGGAAAAACAAAAATATAAGATAAACTAGTACATAAGACACATTAAAAATAAAAATAAACTCCATATCGTAGCCGTTGATCTTCCGATGTCCTCATCATTTTCATTGATATGGTCACCTTTTCAGACAAAAATGATAATCACCTCTAGATAATCACCACTCGACCTACCCAAGGAGCCACAATAAACCTAACCCTAGTGCCTTACTATACCTTCAAGGCAATCTTAAAGATCCACCATAAGCCACCTCCAAGCTAGTGTGTGCCTTCTTCTCAAAATCCTCTCACAATCAACCTATTGAACAGCCCAGTGACCAACAAGAAAACATAAGATGCTCCATAGAATGGCAATTTCAACCATCACTAAAATATAGGCCATTTTAGGCGCATGGATGACAAATAGAACATACAACCACACATTTAAGAGGCCCAATCCCTTTCCTCAATGAAACCTCTCTTTGAAAATAATAATAATTTAAATTTTTTGTTAGATCTACCTTAACAAAATATGCATTTTATGTTACATTGAGAAACAAGTTTAGACAGGAAACTCCTCTATCAATAAGGAATTCTTCATTAGTTAAAAAAAATGAAGCAAATCTCCACAAATTCACACTAATGTGGTTCACTTCAAGAAAGAAAATTTACAATAATTTGATATGAAGGATTTGGGGAAAAATGTATGATTTAGACATTTGTATAAATTGAACAGGAATTTAGGTTGTCAATACTGACAGATGTAAAATTGAAAGTAAAAAGTACAAAGATAATAACATTAGATGTACCTGAACTACTATAAACATAAATAAGTAAAATCCAGCTTAAGAGAACTTTCTGGAGAATGTAAGAAAAACAGATATAAGGGTTAGAAAATATCCTTAAACTGATTGAGAAAAGAAAAAATTAAAGCCCAGATTGAGAACTACAAAAAAAGCAGATATATATACAAGTAGCCGAGAATTGTATCACCTTTTACAAAAGGAAATCTTGAATAGCTTGTGTCTGTGGAGCTTTAGCTAAAGAAGGATCGCCTGATTCTACTCTTTGCTTAAGCTTGTGTTTTCCATGATGATGGCTGCTCCTTGCTGAACTCCTATTGCCTTTCTCTTCTTTAGTCTCATTTTTCCTAGTATTTCTGTTTCTTTCTTTACCTTGACTATGATGTTTGTTCTTTCTAGAGCTGGAACTTCCAATTTCTCTCTCGCGCGGAGATGAACTATCTTTCAGCAGTGAATCTACATTGCTAATTGTTGAAGTTTCGTTTGCCTTTCTCTGTGTATAGTTCTCCGAAAGCGTGTTCTGAATGGTTGGTGATGTTTCGTCACCATAAAAAAGCACATCCCTAACTGCACCAGAGAGCAGATCTCCAGTTGGTTCCCTTACATACTTCGAAGAAGATGATGGTAAATCAACGCCTTCATCCAACTTTACAACTGTTGGCCGAGGTTTTGCAGGCTTTGTCAACCTAGAAACCAAAGACTGATCTGTAAGCTTTAAAAGATCATTAGTGGTCTTCTCAGAGCTAACTGCATTTGTAACATCATTTTCTCTGGGGTGCTCATTTGACCCACTCTCATCCTTATCGGTAGGAAGATAATACAATTCATGTTGCTTCCTATGTTCAGCAAGCAAAGAAGTAGATTCAGTCGCTGGTTCAGATTCCTCCTTATCTTCATTATGACTATGTATTCGCGACGAAAAAGATATTGAGAGGGATGAAGGAACATCATTGTTCCTTAGTATCTCATCAAGATCACTAAGGTTTTCCTTAAGCTCTAGCCCCTCAGGCACAAGGACTCTTTTTTGAGCATGCATTGATACAGGACCAAGCTCTTCAGAGAAAGCAGAACTCATAATTGTAACAATCTCCCTAATTTTTCCATCAATCCTCCAGTCTACATCGTCAGTTTTCCACTCAATCCCATTCAACAAGAGAACTAAACCAAGAACATTGCACGCCCTCTCTTGAACCTCAACCTCATTACATTCTGACAATGGTACCAGTGCCGTTACAATCAAGTTTAGTATATGGATGATGGATTTACTTGTTAAGAGTTTCTTCAACTCCAATGATTCCATTTTGAATGTGGTCACATCAGAACTATCCTCACTTTCAGCACCAGTATTTTCATCAATATTGCATTTAGAATCAGAGAGAACTCCAGCATTTACAAAGAAATTGAAGCAAAATGTGACGATTTTAAACACTGCTTGAATGTAAACAGCTCTCACTGGCGATGGCAGGAGACTAGTTCTTGGTTGTAGAAGAGCTTCCACAATCTCTAACGGGTTTCTTGAGAATTGGATATATTCCCCTGAAATCCAAGCTGCAGCTGAGAGAACTCTGTGCAGGAATTGATTCTCGAGAAGAGCTGGATCAATCAAAAGAACACGAGCCACACGAATAAGCTCAGACCTGGCCTCCTTCACCCTCATTCCAATATCAATAAGCTGTCTCTCGACCTCCTCTCCCTTCATAAAATGCGGATTCCTCACCATCTCAGCAAGCAGCGACACATACCAATCAAAATCCAGCACCAGCTCGTAAAAATTTCTACTGCAGGTTACAAGAATAGCATCAAGGATCTCATTACTGAATTCAGGATCTGACCTCAAAGCATAGTTGATGAGAAGAGAAGAGATTTCCACTACGTTGTTCTCAAAAACCATGTTCATGATAAGCCGGAGCGCCTCGTGACGGATGTTTGGATCAGGGTCAGCAAGGGACTTCACAATGGCTTCACGGTTCTCCTCCACCGCCCAGGACTGCCCTGGCTGAAGCATAGCCAAAGCGTGAAGGCCGAGGAAACGAAGATTGGGATCATCATCCGCAGCGATAAACTCTTTTACCTTCTCCACTGCAAGCTGAAAGGCCGTTTCTTCATCTGGGAAGCTACAGAAAACGACTCGGAGACACTCAAACACCAGCGACTTGGCCGGAGACCGGCGCATCAGTTCGCAGATCGGATCAACGAGCTTGCGCTTGAGACGAGGCTCTAATAAGATAAGGCGTGCGAAGATTTTCAGAATTTTGATGAGGATCCAGTTGTTGCGGCATTCAAGTAGAACTTGGTGGAAGTCAGGGGCAAGGGGGAGATATGGCCGTGGGTCACCGGAGCAAACAAGCTCGCAAAAGATGCCAGCAGCAGCAGAGAGGAGAGGAGATGAAGGGGAGAGTGCTTCGACAAGTTTGGGGAGGAAGGTGCGAGCGGAATCAGGGGTGAGGCGGAGAACGGGGAGGGACGTAATAACGGCGCGGCAGCGGACATGAACAGCAGCGCGCGGGGAGGAGAGAAGAGAGAGAAGATCGTTTGATAAGTGAAGGGCGAGGTCCGGGGAGGAGGAGAGGGCAAGGAGGTGGAGTGCGGGGGACGAGAGGGAGGGATTGGGGGATTGAAGGTCCTTGCGGATCTGATGGGTGGCGAGCGGTAAGAGGTCGGTTGAAGACGGGTGGAAAGAGAGAGAGGCGGAGAGGTAAGCGGTGCGCTTGAAAGCGGGTACAGAGGAGGGCAGTAGCTCGAGGGCGTGGAACGCGGCCCATGACATGTCGAGAAAGTAAAGGGAAGAGAGGTATGTGAGTTTTTGCAGGGCAAGGAACTTGGTGTCGGAATCCGTGGAGCGTATCTCACGACGGATCTCAGCGAGGAGGCGGTGGATGAGGGAGGATTCGCCGCCGGGGGCGGAGCGGAGGGCTTTGATCATGTCATCGAGGGAACGCTGGAAGAGTGAGTCAACCAGAAAAGGAGCGAAGCCGCCGGAGGATGAGGCGGAGCTGCCCACGGTGGAGGCGTCGGCGGCCATAACCAGTGACGATGACTGAGAATAGTTGAGCCGGATGGATCTTGATCCGGCGTTTAGAGGAACAAAAATGTATGACCGGGCATTTCTTTGGGGATTGATTGGGGCTAATGCTTCATATGAAATGAAATTTTATTTTATAGGCTGCATAGTACACCAAAATGTTTAAATATATATATTTTTATTTTATTTCAGAAAAAAATATGTCTGAAAATTTTATTAGGGGATTTACATACATACCATTTCATTTCATGTTATTTATATATCAAATATCTAAAACTTTAATATTACATGTCTACCAAAATAAATATGAGTATATGAAATAAAATATTAAAATTTATAGTATGGTATGAGTGGTAAGAATGAAATATATGAGTGATATATTTCATATTAAAATTTTATATGAGTGGTATAGATGTAATATTAAAATTTTAGGTGTTAGATATGTAAAAATAACATGAAATAAAGTTGTATGTATGTAAATCCCCACATTTAATTTGAAGTAAAAATCCTCTACTTAGCATGTTGGACCTCTAGAACAATGTTTAATATATGTGATGTTATGATTATCACAAATAAACACCAAATTCTTCATTGTGTTTATTAACTCCCTTAGCTTGGACATAAAATGTAGCCATGACTTAACTATTTTTCATGATAAATCTAAGCATTGAAATCTTTCACTACTTTCATATATTGAAGAATGTTTTATTGATATTTAACATTGAGTGGTATGTACTTTTGAATCCTTAAATACAAACACCAAAGAGAGATACATATTTAAAATGGCCATCACTCTACTGTTGGAGATCAATAATTGCCCCTAGATTTTTTATATGTAGCATTTTTGTGGGCTAGAATACACGTGACGATAGAGTTAAAATTTTGTGTCTTAACGTTCTACGAATATCCAGCTCACACATAGAAAACAAGATGTTTTTATGTGGAAAATCTTGGAAAGGGGAAAAATCACAGGGCCTGGCCCAATCTGAAATGATTCCACTAGTGTTTGGGTAGATTACAATAGGTTGACTCGTCCCTGAGGGTTATCAGATTACAAATGACAACCGTTTGGTTGAAATCTAGTGCCAAACGGTGATGAAATTATACCGTCACTTGGTGGACTGGCAGAAGTCTGGTACTACTTTAAAATTTGGACGTCAGTTGGTAGCCTGGCGTTGGTTTGGTAGAACATCAGTGTCGGGCGGTGGTCCGGCGGAAGTCCGGCATCAGATGGTGGTCCGACGGAATTCCGGACGTCAAGTGATGGTATGACAAAACTCTGGGTTTACTCTGGGTGTCAAGTGGCGGTCCAATAGAACTCTGGGACTCAAGTGGTGGTCCGGTAGAACTTCGGGCCTTAGGTGGTGGTCTGGCGAAACTATGGGCCTCAAGTGGTGGTTCGGTGGAGCTCAGGGCCTCAAGTGGTGGTCCGGTGGAGCTCAGGGCCTCAAGTGGTGGTCCAGCGGAGGTGAGGGCATCAAGTGGTTGTTAGGCAGAAGTCTGGGCCTAAGGTGGTGGTCCGGTAGAGCTCAGGACCTCAAGTGGTGGTCCGGCGGAGGTGAGGGCCTCAAGTGGTGGTCCGGCGGAGCTCAAGGCCTCAAGTGGTGGTCCGGCGGAGCTCAGGGCCTCAAGTGGTGGTCCTGCTAAGCTCAGGTCATCAAGTGGTGGTTCGATGGAGGTGAGGGCCTCAAGTAGTGGTTCAGCGGAGGTGAGGGCCTCAAGCGGTGTTCCAGTGGAGGTGAGGACCTCAAGCGGTGGTCCGGTTGAAGTGAGGGCCTCAAGCGGTGGTCCGAAGGAGGTGAAAGCCTCAAGTGGTGGTCCAGCAGAGATGAGGGCCTCAATTGGTGGTCCGGTGGAGGTGAGGGCCACAAGTGGTTGTCCGGCGGAGCAACGACGTCAGGCAGTGGTCCAGCAGAACTCTGGCGGTTGTTGAGGAGGAGCAAGGAGGCAAGAACGATCTCCGATCTCTCTCGTGAATCCTTTGGCTTGGGGTCCCCTTTTAAGAGAAAATTGGGCTCTATTTATAATTTTTTGGAGTGGCATGGCCCGTAAATAGGTGGGAGATCAAGGGCAAATGGGGAGTGGTTGGATGGACGGCCCGATGTTGAATCCCTTGATCAGGACCGTTTGATGGACATTTGAATGTCTTAGTTACGTTGGAATTCAATGATCTTGGGCTCGTTGGATACATCTCGTTGAGCCGCTTGATTCGATTATAAGCACGTTATGTTTGGAAATCGTTTGGTAATCCAAATTGTGGTTCAAACCTTTCAATAGTGCTTCTAACCCTTGATTTGGATCCATTTGGGTTCGGATTGGGTTGGATTTGGTGTCGTTGGGTTTGTATTCTGGGACGTTCAGTTTGACTATAAGTTTGCTAAAATCAGAGTTTGGATGGTCCCAATTTTAATTCTGAAGTTTTCAACTTGATTTTGCATTTAAGATTCGTGCCCGATCAAGATAATTTTTTGATGATGTATCAAGCATAATTAGATAAGCTGGTAGTTTCTTAAAGGATATTTCAGGAGACCCTCTCACATAGGATACTTATTAAAACATCTACGAGTATTATATTTCAAAAATTATATTATTTACTCTTATTCAAACCATATTTAAAGATCATTTAATAATAATGTATGAACTTATTTTAAATAGATAGATAATTTAACTCAGTATAAATGTGTTATGATTATGCCTTCAAATATAGTTTAATTGTGATTGAATATATTCGAACATGATTTGATTATGGTTCTATCAATATTTGAATATATTCAAATATGATTTGATTAATTTTTATTTACATTCAAAGAATATTTAAGCTATGTCCTAACGAAATATGTTCTATAGTAAACAATCATTCTTAAATCATATGTCATAATAGTGTTATCCAATAAATATAGAAATCATAAATCAATAAAATTAAAGCATCTATGAAGACTGCCAAAATTTATAATAATGCAGTATTGTCAAATCAGTAGACACATGACATTCAATCATTCTATATCAGTGTCAAATCAGAATCTTATATTACGTACTCAATAATTGGAATCACATGCTCGGTAACATCAAATCATTAAATGATGCACATATGAGAGTATGGTGTTGAATGAATGTGTAAATCATTCAAGAAAATTTGATGCACATATACATTCATGCATTCTTGTGATGGAACCAATCCTCTTATATTACAGTAGAAAGACAAAAAGAAGAAGATGTATCTAATAACATAAGAATAAAAGATTCAAACATTAGGTTACAACCTTAGATTTGAAAATGATTCAATTATCGTCAGAATAAGATTCAAAATTTGATTACAAATTTGTATTATGTTCAATTCTTCACTACAAAAAATATGATATTTTCGCATCGAATAATAGCAGCAGTTTTTAAACCGCTGCTATAGCTAGTTTTAAACAGCGGTTATAACAGCCGAAAAATCTTACTTGTTTGGAACTAGTTTTATATAAAATAGTAGAACTCTAGGTTAAAAATACATGTCCAAACCTTATTCAAAAAGTACTGAATTTGAAGTTCGAATCTTATTAATTTTGTAATCATAGGGTTCTCCTTTCATCACATTCCTATTATAATTAGGATTATTAGTGTTCAAAGGGTTGGTGAATGCATTCAAACTTACGTAATGAAAAAATATATGAACTTCTCATTTAAAGTGGTTCACGATTTATAACAAAGGGATCACTCGATATAGAAGATAAATGTTGCTTGGAAGATAGCAATGGCTCTTGGAAGAGACATGATTGAGCCATTATCTTGTTCAAACATTTGCATTATCAAGGAATATGGCTTATCTTGCTATTGCAAGAGTAATTTTGACCAAAATAAACTATTGAATATATTTCTCCAAATAAATATATAACAAATATATATGTCCAAATGGGTGCATTACGAGGCATATAAAGTCAAATTTTCATATATTATATATATAAAGAGAGGGAGAGAGAGTGAAAGATTATTTTTTTTCTTAGAAGAAAAACTATTTGTCCTCTAATATTGATGTCGAAGAAGTGGCGATTGAACAACTAATTATAAAGGAAATTTTATAATCACATATCTAAGTTATCTAACAAACTACCATCAAGTTATGAGGAGTGGTGACTATGGAAGCCGGGGTGGAGCCAAAAAAAAATTTTAATGGGGGCACAAATTAGTACTAGTCATTAAATTATTTTCAAAATATCATTTTTTTAATATAATTACAATTCATGACATATTTTTTTAATTAAAAAATAAAAAATACAATCAAATATATATTTGAACCGCTTAAAAAGATATATATATATATATAGATTAACTATATTTAAATTATTAGATAATATTCTAACTATTTCTAAATTAATTTGACGCAATTATTCACATTAGCATGAGCGGATCCCCATTGTATTGGGGTTTATAAATACAATAGATAAGAACTTATGCGTATACATAAGTCGGCTCACTCCACTTACTCTGCTGAAGACAGAGGAGCTTTTACATCTTTTTAACTTTTTCATCACAACCATTTGTTCTCTGCCATAGAATCAACACCGTCGGCTTTGTAACCGATTACAATATAAGTATTTTATACTGTAGCAGCTTTAGATTATGGAAGATGAAGGATGAAATTTGGTTCTTCACTCTTCTGATGTTTTCCCTCACTTGATTCTGCATTTCCTCTGCTTTAGCTTTGCAAGTAATGAGCTGAGGACCGTTCTCAAGATCAGAAGTTTTCATGGTATCAGAGCTCTATGTATTATTCTCCGATGGCCGCTTCGTCCACAACAACTAAGATGGAAACCTCCAGTGCCAGTTCACCGGTTCTCGAAATCTTTATCCCACCGCAGCAAAATTTTTTTATGTCAAATGCGAAGACAATGGTTAACGTTCAGCTGACCACTAAAAACCATCTCATATGGAAGTCACAGTTGCTCAAACTGTTCACAGCGAACAGTTTTGAAGGGAATCTTACCGGATCTACAGTCAAGCCAGCGAAATATCTGATCTCCTCCAGTGGTGTATCTTCACTCAACCCATCCTATACATCTTGGATGCTAAAATATCAGCATCTATCATCTGCTATCTATTCCACTGTCTCACCCTCCCTCTTACCGTATATACTTAATC